GGTCTCCTCAAATTTTTGGAGCCACTGTGTTATAGATGCTAGTTTTGACTAACATTGTGTGTATGCATGTAACAGTGTTTGTTTGAATATGTGTGTGCGTGTATATATATATATATATATATATATATATATATATATGTGTGTGTGTGTGTGAACACATTACCTTCACTTTGTTTGAATATGTGTGTATATATATGTATGTGTGTGTATGTGTGTATGTGTATGAACACATTACCTTTACTGATACAAAAATTAACGAATGTTGTTTTGAAACTTTGATTATTTGAAAATCAATTGAAGACCTGCAAGAAAGTTCTGACCCATACTCCCACCCATTTCCTGATGTTGAATGCACAAAGCTGTAGAAAAAAATCAATTTTTTAACTTGGAATCCAAATAAGTGAAACTATTGGTTCAAACTCTAAGGTTGGTAGATAGGGAAATAATTCAATGTTTACAGTATGGGGCTAGAGGTTCTATAAGTGAGAATTAAAGAGATTAGAACTATTATTTAAAAAAGAAGGAAAATTGATTTTGTAATACTAATTAAGATGTCCATTTATCAATCATTATTTTAGTCTTAGTTAATTATTGGAAAGAATTAAAAAGTTTCAAAACCTAATACATTAAGACAGAAAAATATATTAAAAAAACAAAACCTTGAATTTCCAAGGTATTGTTATAGAATTCTATCTCCCCCTCCTCATATTGTAACATATCTATTCAAGTCAAATATTGAAATAGGAATTTTTTTTTTTTTACTTCTGTATATATGAAATGCAGTTGCATCATATTTTGTAGCAATTTGTTCAGTATCATTAATTCTTTAAAAATTGTTATATAAGCAAATATATCTCTGCAAAAAGAGAATGAAAGAAAACTTGGTTAACAGACCTAAACAAAATTTATAATCAGATGCAAAAATGAAATGAATTTTAATAAAATTTGTTCACCTCTAGAACAAAAGACAAGCTTAAAAATGTAAAACAAGAAAAGTTCAGAAAATACATGAAGTGATATCTGATTATGAACCAATTTTAAAAAATGATAGCAACTCCAAAATATTTGCTGAAGAAACAAAGTGATTTTGTAAATATTTTCATTTACAGCAACAAATAGTTCTGAGAATAGAATTTTCACTGATGAAATATTAACAAAATCAAGTTTGTTTTAAGAAACAAAAGAGAATTGAATAATCTACAAATTTCATATTTGTTTATATATTTCTTTATAAATACAAATTAGACTACCATTTATTAGCAAATTGGATTTATTTTATTAAAATAATGCAAACAATTCTACTTAAATGACCAGTTTATATATTAATATGCTTTTCTAAATCTATTTATATTTCATCAGACTCAAGGCGAAACCTTTTACAGTACACTTAGTTACAAAGAATTTAATGGGGGTCTTTTTTCACATCAAGATTTTTTTTTAATATGAAGAAAAACATATTTCAAGGAATTCTTAAAAATTTAAGGATAGAGTTTTTTCTTTACACATATGCAAATGTGGAAATGAATAAGCCACTTATTAAAAACAAAGAAATATGATTTTTCTTTATATTATCCAAATATATTTAACATACTATTAGGTCAGAACAAAAGTTTTTAGTGTTTTTTTTTTTAAGTGAATTTCCAAGATAATATTTGTACATTGATTTATTCAACCACCTATGTGCCATTTTATTCCACTACCTCTTGGCATCAACTAAAGGCAACTTCATGATTCCATCCTCCCAGAACTTGTCATCTTTTTGGGTGATAAACTGGTTTAAGGACATCCCAGACAAAGTATTTGTCTGAATACAACATCTGATTTTGTGAAAGGAGCTTTACACAATCCAATGCTACTAGATACACAACACCACCTTCAGATACAAATGGGTTTTTGGAATAGTTTCTGGTAGCTCATTTTGTTTCCCCCTACAGGAAACTTTTTCAATCTACATCACCTATGATTGTTGTTTACAAAAATATTTTTGCATTTGAGTATAGAATCAAAGATGGAAATAGGGTCCATTTTTTTTTTCTATAACAACTGCGAGGAACACAAACATATATCAAGTATTTTCAAATGCTTTACAATGTTCTTATGAGATATCTGGAATATCTCTTCGATGTCTTGTTGTGTGATGTGGGTTTTCATTAAGTATTTTGATTTGATCATCAACTGCAAGTTTGCCAGAATGTTCTTGGTCTTTCGGATCAAAATTTCCATTTCTGAACCTAGTGAACCACTTAAGAAAAATACTCTCAGCTATGGCAACATCTTGATAAATGGCACATGTTTTTGGTCATTTGTACAACTTTCCAGAAATAAAAGAGCATCAAATAACAAATGGGCTGAAATGTCACATTCAGAATATGCATATACGTCATGTGTGAAGCAAAATCACCTGTTCAAATTCCACCTATTGAAAAATTCTATGAACTTTTGTTCCAACCAAATATTTCTAAAATACAAAGAAACACTGACTTTCCCCATGTCTTACTGAAATATAAAAATGTATATATTATTTTCTCATATATAACAATACAGTTTAACATAATAAATGGAGTGACAATGAAAGTTAAAAAATAATTTCTAGGTAAAACAATGAATGACTTATAGGAACTCTAGAGATGATTAAGTAATTAAAGTTGTTGAATATACTATGTTTGAAAAAAAATATCTGGGAATACCATCATAATAGTTCTTCAAGAAGTCAAGAAGGGCAACTATATTAGTCATTTATTCAGTTTTCTTATTTAAAATATTATATATATATATATATATATATATATATATAGATTAAAACTCAAGTGGCTGCAAAAGTAATTAAATTGTATAAAAGATGTTAGTTAAAAAAGAAATCCCTGAACTTCAGTATCTGATCTCAAAAATATAGATTAATTTATTAAATTTTACAATTTGTGACAATATATATAAAATGTTTAATAATGGATACTTCACTAAGTATCCAAAAGTTTTTGCTTAAAAATGAACCAATACTTATAAATAATGTACAATTATAAATAAAAACAAAAAAAATCACCACTTTTCACTTGCATGTTATCATTTTCCTAGCTAAAAGTTCTACCCAAGAAAAGTCATTGGCATTCACCTAAAGCTGTTTAACATTTAAAAGAAATTTAACATTGTTCAAGACTAACTCCTTAATCACTTGGTTTAAGCTTATAAGATTTGGAGTGTATCTTGGAAAAATACAAATATTAATATTAGAGAAGCAGAGGACATTGAAGACCTCTTTCTAAATATTCACAATATCTATTCATTATGGCATTTCCTTGCAATAGTCTTCATGGTAATCTTACAAGCCATTGGTAAAGTTTTATATAAAGAAAATTTACTATACAGGTGAAGGCATCATTTTGGGAGTGAATAATAAAGAGAGGATAAAGCAAAAATCATTAAAGTGTCTTTTTAACTCTTATCCTCCTGACATCAATGTAACACCTTTTTCACCTTCCATATAGTGAGAGCATTTTGTTTAAAGTTCATATAAACTTTTCAGATGAAAACATGGACATTTTCAACATATCTTCACTTTCCAAAATTATATTTGATATTTATAACTTAGATATAGTGAAAATTAGGCTCTAGTTTACACTGATATCGGGAGGATGTGGGTTAAACAGCTCATTAAAAGAAAGTGACAAAGGTTTTAAGATGTCTTTTTGTTTCAGTCATTTACTTATGTTTTTGTAAAGTACATCAGAAATGTATATCTGAAGTAAGTCTTTATGCTGTTGATGAGCTCTTTAGTGTGTCAAGGTAGTTTATTCTAGATATGTTCTCTTAACACTTTACATTGGCAGAATTGTAATTGATTTAGGAATTTAGACAAGGTGGTTATAGAAGAGAGAGTGAGAGAGAGAGAGTGCACATAGTAACTGTGATGGTAGGGAGTTAACTAACAGAAGAGATTTGTAGAAGAGACAAGCAATATGCAAATGTTGCTTTTGTATTCAGCGGCTATTCTTTTTTCAGAAAAAAGACAATATTTATTTGTGCATCTACTTTTGAAATTATTTTCATTAACTCCTGTCCATAATAATGTTTATGTTAAAGAATGCAAATTGGTACCTACTTAATATAGACTTCTAGAGAAACTTAAAGAAGAAAAAAAAAAGAAAGAAAAAAAAAAGCATTCTTTTTTCACATGTTACTATTGTTTTTTTTCCATTGTAAATATCACTCATAAAAGAATTAATAGGCATAGTAACAAATATAAATACAAATGCAAAAGAATCAGAAATTTGGCCTGAGTCGGATATTATTGTATATACATATATAGAATGGAATCTAGCCTGGTACAAAATTTGATGTCATTAAAGAAATCTCTTAATTATTGGTTTAATTCACCAACTGCTTCCATGCAAATTGGTGACTATGAGTTTAGAAATATGGGTTAAATCAAGCAAAATGATTAAGTAAGGAAAATTTATAAGGATTTCTTGTTTCTTATTTAAACATAACAACATGAATATAATAATTCATATTATGAATAATATAATATGAATTATTGGTTCATAATTTGAGGAAAGAATTTAACTATTGTTTTTCACTATTATTATTTATTCATATACATTTTCTTTTAGAAACTGATCAGAGATTTATAATTAAGCCTAATTATAAAATACCTGAGTTTGTTTAGTGTTAGAATAAAGTTTACTGCCTCAGTTTCATAATAGTTGTTAGATTTAGTGTGGGGAAATAGACATGTAAATGTAGCAACAATTAAGGAACAAATTTCTAATGTACTACCAATGTAATATTTAAAATGATGTCTTGTTAATGAAAAGTGGTGGGTATGTTTGAGTGGCATTTAAAAATCTGAATGGCTTTAATCATTAGAAGTCTAAATTGCAACAGAAAAACTCTTAGGTACAGTGTGAAATGTTTATTTACTTTCTTTTATCAACTTTTTAAAGAGTTTTTTTTCCAGAGTTTTTTTCACAAGCAAAGTGTAAATAAGCCCAACAATAACAATATCACTGAAGGAAAAGTCTGAAGAAACTAGAGAAGGGAGGAAAAATGTTGAAAGAAAACAAGAAAGAAGGTAAATAAGAGAGAAAAGTGGATGAATCAAGAAAAGAAGAAAAAATAATGAGAAGGATAGTTTGATAAAAAAAGGTAAAGAATAGAGAAAGAAGAAGGAGAGAGTGGAAGGAAAAAACCAAGAGATATGAAGAAAAGCAAAATACTAAAAGAAAAAAAAAGACTTCTTGTAAAATTTGATCTTTAGGTATTTTATCTATTGCAGCAGCAATATAAGATAACAAAAGATTGGGTGAAGGAGGATCAATCAGATGCAAGTATAAGTTCAATCGAAATTGGACAGATTTGAAATTGGCATGTCTTCCTCTGCATTTTTGTAAAGATAAATTTGTAAAATATGAAGCCATTGAAAGAAAGTCTTGTTTGAAGATGCATCCCAAATTGAAACAACCACACCTTCCAGTGGCTCACTTTAATGCAAGCTCCGATATTTAATAGATTTTTTATGAGCCCATTTGATTGAGAAAAAGGCAAAGCTTCTAAGACAAACATATCAGTATCTATTCTGCCAGAAACCAAAAGTTTCTCAAATACACCAACCATTATTTGTTCATATAATCAATACAAAAATGAGAAATGAAATACAGTCAATCCTTATAAAAAATGTTTAAGTGAATGATGTCATGTCAGAAAAACTATTTGAGTTTTACCAGCTAACAAAGCAAATCATATTAATAAATGGCTGGAAAAATTGAAATTAAATTTTCAACTACTTAGGTAATTAAGAAAAAATATTTTTAAATAAAATTTTTTAAATTGTCTAATCTCTTTTTCAGAATAGTCTTGTAATTTTTTGTAACGATTGGTATAGCTTTATTTACTTAACATTACATATATCCTTAATGAGAATAAGACTCTTTTTTGTTTAAATTCCTAGTCATCAGATAAAGTTCTGTATCCCAAATTGCAAATAATAGTACAATCATTTTTAATCATCCTTAGTTGCCAGCCAAAATAAGCAATACTTACAAACTCTTATTCACATTGTAATGTAATCATAAGACATTGGCAACTCATTTATTGATGACTACTTGAGGAATATGGCCTATTACTTGCAATTGGTCTGATAACCCATGCAATAGACTCTATATACATTGAATGGTCAAAAATAAAATAAATAAATAAATCGTCATTCAAAAGTAGTTTAGTCTAACAATCTCAACTGTCATCATACAAACACCAAACAATGGTTTTATCTGCAAAGGTTTTTGGGTATAAAATTAAAAAAAATGTCCTAAGTTTAGATTTTCTTTGGCAGTTCAAACTTAACCTATTTTTCCATGGAAATTTAAACAGGATAATTATGTGAGTTTAGGTCATTCAAACTTAAGTGACTCCAATCAAGCTTTGTCATCATGGATTATTTAAGCTAGGGTCCCATAAGTTTAGGTGCTAAATACTTATTTCCTCTTGTTCATATTTATATTTTTAAAATATTTACCATCCACTTTATGAAAAATATTGTGTAAGCATGATGCACAACATGTGTGTGTTGAATAACTGAGATGTATATAAACGAAATAAGGAAAGAACATATTACAATCACGTTACCTACATTTTTCCAAGATATTTTTAGTAAAATATAATAAAAATTATCTGTGTGAGTGATCAGCTCATCATTAAATCACTTTTAAACTGAGAATAAAATGGATACTTTATTATGTGTGTAGGGGGGGGGGCCATAAATCACACACATGTTCGGTAATTTGAAATTTAACATACAGCAAAGTACCTTTTATTAGTTGTCAGTAGAAAAGCATCTCTATGTATGACTTCAGGTTTTCTATCATCTATAATTGATCAATTATGCACATAAAAAAAAGAAGACAATTTTCTCATCCATTCATTCATTCATTTTTCTTTTTCATATGACAAATTTCTTAGAAAAACTCCTGACACTGTTGGCCATCTTAGAAAGAAAGAGAATTAACCTAGCCTCCACTGATAAAAATTAAGAGCAGTTGTAGCTCTGAAATTAAATACTCAAGGATCCAGCAAATATTTATTTTAGTTTTCCACTATAAATTTGTAATTTTTATCGTACCTTTTTTTTTGTATTTATTTTCTTAGAATTAAAAACAGAACAAATGACAATGCTGTCAAAACTTTAAAAGAAATATAATAAAGCCTTTGAAATTTGATTATAATTAAGCAATGACTGTTTTATATCTTCTCACAACACATCAACATTCCCTCAACACAACCAAATTCACAAATACAAGCAGATTTTAAGTCACCAATTCTCATTTTTAAATGGCAGAAAAAAATATCTGTAGTATTGAACAATTTCTTTTAAAGAAAAAAAAGGTTGATGCATTTATTTTGTACCTGGTCTTATATTCTAAATACTATATTGTAAATATAAAACATGGAAAAATGTTTCTCATATGTGCATATACTATTTGAAAGTGACTCTGACACTTTTGACATCAAACAAGCTTTGGGGGTTTTACAAGACCCTGTTGGCATTAAATAAAGGGAGTGGATCTTAACATTAGGGTTAATTTTCAAGTCAGTTGTGGATTTTTATAATGAAACTTCTATATTCTGATTTCTATAAAATCAAAGAAATTAAGGTTACTGAAATTTGTTTTAAATATACATTTTCTATATGAAGGTAGGGGAAATTTATATAAGAACTATAAGTTATTTATCACTTATATAAAAAGATTAAAAAATAAGTGGAGATAGAGTAAGAGTTGAGGACAGCAACATTTTATTGGCTTTTGTTTCCGCCAATCGGAAGATGAAGCTGACATTTAAATCAGAACCTGTATTGTTCTCACTGTTGTACAATGTCACACGAGGAGCACTGAAGACATTGTATAAAAAAGAATAGAAAAAGATCACAAAATATGTGCCTGTGAATTAGATTGGGATTTTCTGATGATATATATATATATATATATATATATATAGTTTATGAAAAACTAGGTAATCCATATGGGTAAACCTAAGTAGGATAAAAAAGGGCTGTGGTGAAATAATTTATTACATGGAACCTTAAAGTGGTCTGTTTTTATATATATATATATATATATATATATATATATATATATATATTATATAGTAAAGGTGTATATATATATATATATATATATATATATATACAACAACAGGTAGGTTCTTTGAATGTCTATATTAATGTGTGTGTGTGTGTGTGTATATGTATGTATGTGTAAAATATTTTGGAAAGGTTCTATTTATTATATGGTATTTTATTCTGAAAAAAAAAAAAAAAGGTGAAAAATAGAATCTTAGATAAACTTTTAAAATATATTTTGCTTCTATAGATATTAATGAGCTGAATGTCAAAAATATTTTATATCTATATGTGTATAAAAAGTACATGCATAAGTGTGCATCTTTTGTTTTAAAAAAAAATACCCCAAAAAACAAAACCACAGGTTCCTTGTTATAGTCTTCCAGATGAAATATGTGTTCAAAGATAGTGTATCTATATTTTTAACAAACACATCTCAAAATAATTCATTCTTCTTGATGAGTGTGTATTTTCTATCCTATCTTTTATAGAGCCTCTTTCATTTTTGTTTACACTTACTTACCAAGGCAGGATGTTTATTATTAAAAATACAAAACAATAAAGACAATAATATATAATAGCAAATTCTGGTCAATTTGAGAGAAAAATAAAAGTGAGAAAGTCATCAGTAATGATTGGCAAAGATTACTAAAATCTTTAGGAAAACTTTGCATATTGACACTACTTTCCTCTTTTGGAAAATGAGGAAATGATCATAACATTGGAAAAAATTTCCAAATAACTGATCAAAAGATAAGTTTTGCATTCATGTGTTATCATTAATGGGAATGAGAGTATTTGTCATTTTCACTCAATAACTGGAACACCTTTTGTGATCAAGTCAAACAATGTCTGTTTCTATTAAAAATGCTGAGCATGAAACCTTTTAATGAATTTATATATCTAGTTATTTATGGAAAGCAATAAAGTAGATAAAATTGGTTTATGTTTTTGATTTGCACTTCAACTGAATCATAAGATTATTAAATGCCTTAAATGCTTATATAAGTATTTATACACACACACACAGCTCTGAATCTGATATGATTCAGTATGCTTATATCAGTGTAAGAAATGACTAACACAAATTAAAAAAAAATAAATAAAAAAGATTTAACTTCATTTTGTGACATTTGAAAACTTGTCTCATTTTCTTTTCAAAATGTTATTTAGAACTTTCCAAAACAAATCAGTGTTTATTTTTATAAAAATGTCACTTTGTACTATGTGTGTGTGTGCCTGTAAATTGTGTGTGTTGAATGTATACATGTAACAATGCTGCAATTTCCTGTATGTAAATATAATTAGTGCATATAAAATACATAATTATGCAGAGAATACTTACAGAATTATACATATATTAATACATTATACACACAGACACATTCTTTGTGAAGCAGGCATTTACATATGAGTAAAGTATAAGGTTGAGTATACACACATATATGTATGTATGTGTGTGTGTCAACTTTATGGGTGTACACAGGGTCAATGTGAAAGTAATGGCAGTTTCTGAACAGCTACACTTTTTGTGTGCATATATATATATATATATATATATATATATATATATTACATATATACACACATACATAAGTTTCATTAAATATGACTGACAAGGTACTGTGATTAAGCTTTTTATTTAATTTTCTTGTGTTTTCTTTTCTGAACATAACGTGTGTAACAATTGTCCAAATGTTCTACATATCTGAGCAGTTTCAGCTATTTTTAGCCATTATTGGGGATGATTTTAATTTTTAACTGAATGTATAGATTTTTATGTATGTCTCTAGAGCTATAGGAATGTTTTCTAAATACAGTCAGCACATTGTGGCCATGTCCATAGTAGATGTTATTGAGTGTTGGCCTTTTCTTCTTTATTATTAGTGCTTCCAATGTAGAACATTTGGACAATTTTTACACATTTTATATCCAGAAAAGAAAAGGCTTATATGAACACAATAAAAATTTAATTGCAATACCTTCTCAGTCATCTTTAATGTAATGAAACTTGTATAAAAGAGGGATTGCTGCACAAATACATGCATGCATATATATATATATATATATATATATATATATATATATATATATATATATATGCAAATATTCTCAGATAGAGTATATCTGTAGTAGAGACAAAATGAATGAAAATATATGACATAATCTAGGATCTAACATTTAAATCTTTTCAGTTAACCTGATGAATAGTTATGAGTGTTCTTAAATATAAAAAATCAAATATATAGTTGTTGCAAAATAAAGCCATCACATTTGCCTTGATAAAGCCTGTTGAATGATGAAATGTGTCGGCTAAACTAAGTATAGTTTTCGTCTTTTTATTCATATATATCATATATATATATATACACACACACACAAATACATGTGATCACTATTATATTCCTGTACTGTTTAGAGAAATGTGTTTCTATAAATGTATATTCTTAAATTATTAAGTATGTTTATATCTGGATAATCTCATACTTTAACTGTTACTATCTAGTTGAATTAATTTGGCATTATTATGAATAAATTAATTATATATATATATATATATATATATATATATATTATATATGTATACACACACACAAACTATTTTTGCATATTTTTTTTAAAAATATGGCTTCTTGAATAACAAAACTGTCTATACAATTAAATTAAGAACAATTTGTTAAAGTGCTAAAAATACAATTCAGATTTTTTAAAAAAATGAAAGAAAAATGGCTTCAGTGTTTTGTGGTTCAATGGACAATCTTCGCTACTGCACTCAATCTTGAAACTTATCCATCAAGGCACAAAGTGTCAACTACACTGCCTTGCTCATTTCATGCTTTACAACGCACGCACACGTTCACACACGTTTTCACAATTGCATATGATAATTAAGCATGTTTGTGAGAATATATGCAAATATATTAGCATTGATTAATCCACAAACACACATATACAGAGATACATTTTTGTTAAGCGTATGTGTAAATGCATATAGGTCAATATATAAATGCATATTTATACACTTACCTATACATATACACACATATGCCTTGTTGCTGTGCGTGTTCACATGAGTGCATATGCGTAATAGAAAGACAAGTCAAGAAAAACACAGGATGTGCTTTTGATCAGTTGTTTTTTTTTATATTTCTTGTGTGAAAACAACTTAAAATTATTCCAGCAGTCTTTACATAAATTCAGAGTTTCTTTACTTTCCTTTTCATTTTCTCTTCCTTTTTTCATTTTTTTCTTTTAATATTTTTATTATCCTTATTTCCTCTCCCACTTCAAAACATTATTTGGGATATTATATATATATATATATATATATATATATATATATATATATATATCTTAGTAAAATAGGAATTATCAAATTGCCTTGATAGGACTTATTGTTATTCTGTTTCAATGCTGTCAATTTTTTCTTGGTTTCACTCCTTTCCATTAGAGCAAAAATGGAAAGAGAAAAAAAAAAAAAAATCTCCAACAATATTTTCTTTTTCTGAACCCTTCCCCTAAAAAGGAAAAAAAATTATTTTTTTCCACATATCATCAAAAATTTTTTTCATTTTTTGTTGGGATTAGGGGATATGGTTAAATATTTGTTTCTTTATTTAATCATTATTTTGTTTATTGATTTTTATATATTTCACTTAGTTTCATACACCATTCCATTATAAAAGTGGAATGTATAGACATGTCAAGTTTTTATTTTGTTAGGGACTGGGGGTAGCTTTTGAAATAATAATTATAAAAAAAAAAAAAATTTTTTTTTTACATTTATCAATTATTTTCCATTTGTTTATGGTTATCATTTTTAAATATTTTCAATTGTCCACATTCTTCCAGTTCAAATGCCTCACGAACCCTCAATTATTCTATTAAACAAACACAGATTCTTCTTTTTTTCCTTCTCTTTTTCATTTGCCCTTCCCAACCCTAACAGTATCACTCTTTCTTCCTTTACATTGCAACTCATTTCAATCATTCTAGATTTTTCTGCCCTCAGTCTATCTCTTTGTTTTTCCTTTAAGTACATTTAGGTTAAAGCATCAGAATGTTTTTTTCCCCTTGACTAATGATACTTCATTATTTTTTTTCTTTCTTTTTTTAACATTTCTTCATCTCAAGCATGGTCACCAGTTGAATTACACATTATAGGAGACACAATAACCTGTACTACAAACCCTTTGGAAATTTTTGTGTCTTCAATTTTCATTTTATCACTAAGAAGTCGTCCTGAAAAGAACCACCGTTGACGTGATGGATCAATGCCTTCCTCTTCAAATATTCTCTTCTTAACCTTCCACACTGTGTCTGTTGTTCGGACATACAACTTTAAGTCCTTGTTACTGTGTGAAAGACGGAATTTGATTGGTAATTCAAGTCCTGGTGACGCTGACTCAGGGTCCTGTATCGTATCACTGTCACTGGCCTCTTCAATTAAATTGGTAGGAGCACTTAGTACATAGACAGGCAGCTGATACCTGTTACCAAGTTCATCATAACAGTCCATCAGTGTGCCTACAACAGAGACAAAATTGAATAAGGAGAGCATCATCAATTTTTCACACAAGAATTTAGTCTTACTGTTATTATTCAATGAAATAGTAGCATAGCTATCTATGTGTTTTCGAATTTGCCAGGGAGGCTAGCTAATCCCTGTTGCAGACCCCTGCTCAGGCACATTTGTGTTTCTTCAACATCCACAGAACCAACCTGAGGTTTATATAGCAACTATACTGAATAGACCTTAGTTAAGGTTTCTGGGAGAGAGTACATAAGCTGATGTGATAAAGTTTAAACAAGGCTAGTATCCCCAAACACTTGATCAGAATGACTTGTAACTTGATGCTAGCACAACTTTTTATAGTTGAAATTTCACTTACCATGCTTGGGTCTAGTTTTCAGGCAATTTCCAACATTACTGCCCACTGATGGGGGTCATCTCCCTGAGTCACTTCCTTGACAAATCAACCATGATAAAATTCAAACTTCAATTTCATGGATTGAACACTAACTATTTAACAAATCAGCCACATAATTGAAATAATGAATCAATATAGAGAAACATTTTCAGGTGAAAATTAATATGATTCTTCTCTGCTGTGATTAATTAATTCAACCTGACTCTTGTATCTTATATAGATCTGTTTGAATGTAAGTATTTCACAGGCTGACTCAATATAAAATAAACATTTGAGTAACTTAAAAATAAGAAAATCCCAAAATTTAATCGTAATTTAAATACTCTGATATTTAATTTGTTGACTTAACTTTCATATAGAGACAGATTTCTAGAACACCTAGTGAAGAATGAATTCACTAGTAATGCTTTGGGAGAAAAGCATACTGACTATTGCTCTACAGTAGGTTTGCCAAATAGTTTGGTGAAATAATAAAAATTTAAAAAAAAGAAAAAGAAAATCCTAAAATGCAGACATTAAGATTATACATAAATGCTAAATCTAACATTGTTTAAAATACATTTATGCTTTTGCCAATTAAATAAACAAACACATGAAAAGTACATAGACATCAAGAAACAAATTATAAAATGAACACCCTCCGAGGGGAAAAAGAAAAAAAAAGCTACAAAAATATGTCCTGGGTCTTTACATTATATATACATATATATTTGAAGTTGAGGTATCTGGTAGGTTAGTGTTTACCCAGACACTACAAACTACCTGTATTTGTTTGTAGCCTAACTCTATGATACTGTAAAATTAAGTGTAAAGGCTTTTGCAAAGGGGTGCTGAAAATTTCTTGGTCCCAAGCAACTTTGCAAAATCTGAGCAAATGTCCATACATCAGACTTGTTTTGGAAAGGCTTTTTGGTTGGGCCAAGAAATTTTCACCTTCTCATATATACTGTTAAATATGGTAACCTATGAATTAATAAACATGGGACCTCTGTCAATATTGGCAGTGGATATAGTACTAATATTGCTAATGATTAAACAATAGAGCATTCTTTCATTGGACACAGAATAAACAATTCACTAATATTTTAGAAGAACACATTGTTATGTTAATTAAATTGATAACAAATCAAGTTGAAATAAACTTGAGATTATCTATTGAAATAACATATCACGCACTTGTTCATTGATTTTATGAACTTGATTAAAGGCATTATCATATTAGGGCTTTTTTGATGTTTGTAGTAAATTTATGGAATATCTTTCAAACCAGATGTGGAGAATTTGGCTCTTTTAATGATGATTTCCATATTGGCCCCCAATAGTTGAAGATTTCTCTGCATCAACTCTTGGGGGCCAATATGTAGATATATCGAAATCTCAATAAAATATGGTCAGGAGAATGTCAGTTAATCATCAGGCTTTCATACTGCCTTCAATGTCCAAAATAATTTAAACCTGTTTAGGGAATGGTCAGCAGTATGACTAGCATCAGCATCATGTTAAGAAGACCATTATTAACAACTTGTTATTAATCATCATCAATATCAATCCAACAGCAACAAGGACCAGATAATATTCCTATTATCAGCAATCTTAATATCATAGAGCAATTGTGTTTATCTGAACTTAAGACAATAGTCTGGATAACAAAATATTTATATTGTTGTATAAGCAAGAAAGCTCTTTGCCATCTATATCTCTGAAGAAGAATTCATCAACTGAAGCCTGAAGTAAATCAATTCAGAAATAATTATCATTACCTTAACTATTATTAAGAAGATTAATTATTCACCTTTTTTACATATTGTGATGATATAATGGGTTAATACATGAGCTGCACTATTACATGATTGTTGCATCAAATAAAAATGCACTTAGATTAAGCTATAAACAAGAACAAAATACTTCAGTTACCATTGGGTAGAGATATATTTGCACCATCAACAATAGCTTGAGCCAAAGAATGGTCTCCAGTCTCAAGAGCATATGCTGCAGCCTTGAGGGCATCCCATATCTCTTTACGGCCCTCAAATGCTGGGGCTGTGTCCCAGAATTCATCCCTTTTACTCCGTAACTGGCCCTCAGTTAATGGAACATCACTCTTCCATTTTGGTTTCTCTGGCTTCAGCGGCTGATTGCGTCCAATTGACACTGAAAAGAAAAAGAAAATTAATGAAGAAGGATATAATAACAAAATTAAGAATATTATTGAACTCTGAAATTTTATTCTTTAATCATTTTTTTCTTTCTCCCAATAGGAATAGCTTGCCCATAGTCCAGTTCACTCCTTTCCAGCCTTTTGAACAGGAGTAGAGGTTTATCCCTTGTTCCATGTTTAGGATTGGGTTTTCAGTTCCTTCTAAAGTCTACTTCAACTCTTCTACTTCTAATGCCCTTGCCAGAAATCTGAAATTTTCTCACTATGTCACTTCTTGCATTTTTTATGCTAATATAACTCCACACAGTAACCCTTAACCTCAAGGCTCTTAGGCCTTGATGTATCGGGTAAAAAAAAAAAAAAAAAAAAAAAAATCCACTATTATTATTCTCTAATCTGCTTTAGCACATGGAATTTTGCAACTTGATTGTACCATGGATGTATATGTGTGTATGTACAAAATACTATAAAAAAACCTGTAGTAAGATTCTGACATTTATTAAGATGTTCAGAAAGTAATTACATATTTCAACATTATCAGTTATGAGTCAACCAACCAAGGTTGAATGGTATAAAACTGCATCTAGAAATAGTTTATCACCTCTTCTATCCAACAGTGTGACGTTTATAGTACATTTCAAAGTTTAATTAAGAAAACTTGCAAAGAGGGAATTTTGTTTGAGAATCAAATACAATGTTCTGTCATCTGCAAAATTCTTTTAACTTGAAATGCCAATCTTTATTTTTTGCATTGCATTTATTACAGGTGATAGAAAATGAGATTTGTATGTCAACAGAAAATGAAAAGACAGAGGTTATTATAAAATGAAAAACCTGTGCAATCATCAAAACCAGGACTCTATCCAAAGAAGTCCTTGCTCTGTGTCTGGTGGAGTATGAAAAGTGATATTCATTATGAGGAAGAACTCTCACTGCAGACAATTATTGTTGGCAACTTGATTGGGTAAACAAAACATTACGTCAAAATATGTTCTGCATTGGTAAACAACAATGGTATTATTCTCCATGACAATGCAAAAATCACCCTTTGCTAATCAAACCCAAGAAAAAAAATAAGATCATTAGGCCTGGGAAGTTATTCCACATCCCCCATACATACACACACCTTTATTATTTGTTTCAATCATTAGAATATTTCATAAATAGCAGAATATTCATAAACAAAGAAGGAGAAAACAATATTTCAAACTTTTTCCTTCCATCATTTCAAACTCTAGTCATTAAAAATGAAGATGATTACATTTTTGTAAATAATATTTAAATAGATTTAACTTGCATTTGTTTTTATATCATTTTTAATAAGACAAAATCACTTTCTGGACACAGTTTTGATTAAATCTATTTCTTAAACAAACTTAATTACAGTATCTATGTCCCCTGTTTATCAATGTGCACAATGTTTTTTATTGTGTTTTAAGCCTACATTCACTATGTCCAAGCATATATTTTAATTCAGTTATGTTTTGTTATGCCATTTTCTTCACATAATTTCAACAATAATTTCATAAAGAAAAAAATGAGTTAATGTTCTGATTTCATTATAATAAAAAAGTGATATTATCAAAGTCAATATTATTAATAATATTTCAATATATAAGTCAATAAATTGAATCCCATTGATGAAATAAAGTTTAGATAATTTAAGCATTCGATAACATAGAATGGTTCTGATATTATAAATTCTGTTGTTGCTTGTATCTATTTTTATGTTCATAGTGAGAAAGAAAACTGAATTCAAAACCAGCCTAAAGAGGGATAGGCTCTGTCAGGTCAACTGCTGTGGTGATCCTTCATGAGGCTAATGATGAGAAAGACAAGTTTGATTTTAATCATTAACAGATTTATCACAAATTTACATCTTATATATATTTAAAAAAACCTTTTATTTTCTTTCTGATTTTTGAGATAAGATTTTAAAAGCCAGGTATATAATACAAGGGCCATAAATCAATAGAGCATTAAAATTTACTGTTTTTCAAACCAATAACTGTTTAATTGTATAATTTCTGATGGACTTAATCAGGTCGTTACAAAATGAATAAAACTTAATTTCTGTCTGAAGAGTTATCATTATTTATACTACTTACATGTGGATTTTCCAAACTAAAACCTTTATTTAATATATAGTGGTAGACTGCAATACTTCTACTGTAAGAGATATCTCATCTAGAACCTACTTTTTACTATTGCTCATCCTATTTCCAATGAGTCCTAGTACACACTGCTGAGCCAAGGGATTGAACTTATAATTACTATATCACCAAATTCATGAACCAACACTTTAATCCACTAGACTATTGTCCCATAGGACAATTCTCTGTGGAGAACTTGAAGCTTTAAACCTAACTTGTCTGTTGATGAGTGCTGCAACTTGTCATACTAAAACTTGTCACTAACTGAAGCTTTTAGACTTTTTTTCTTTATTAACAGTCCCCATAATTCTAATTATTTCTACTAGAAAGACCTGTGAAAATTTCAGTTTTCCTATTTTAATTTTCTGATGAATCTTAATTTTTAAGTTAATGATTGAATAAGCTCATGGTGGGTTCTACAATAAAATATCCATAGAAATTCTCCTATTGCATTGTCAAAGATTTGAACTTAACAACTTTAACAAAATATTGCATTAACAATCATAAATATGAATGCTGGTTGTTATTTTAAGAAGTAGGTACAAATGAAAAGATTTGAAATAGGCAATTTTTCCATTTCACTGAAACAGCTGTTAAACATTTCTATCTTCCCTTTCTTTCATTTTCTCACTGAAACCAAGGAGTGTCTTTTCCTCTCTTTTGACATAATCAAAATGGAATAGTCCATTATTTATGAGGTATTGGCAGGGCATAAAGGTTGTGCAAACTAACAAAGGGAGGAAAAAGCAAGATTATAACAGGATGTTAAAATTCTCTGTAGGTTATGCGAATTGAATTGATATACACCTGAGGAAGGCTAGAGGACACAACAGCTGAAACATTCTGATCACAACAACAAAGATGAAGAGAATAGTATACATGTAAATAAATGAAAGTTATTTGAAAAATTAAACAGAGAAAAACTTGAAACAATGTAATCATAGCAATGCAACATATCATTTGTTTTTTAGATGATCAATTTTGGATAGTGGCTTTTTCTGCTACTTTTTGCTTGGAATCTTATTAAAATCAGTAAGTGACAGTTTTAACTTAATTTTTAAAAAATGGCCTATATCAAATGGATTTGGGGCCCCTATGGCACAAAATTCAGCCAAGTTAACACATTATTTTATACTATTTTGCCTGTTTTATGTCTTTGACTCCAACTTTTAAATAACGCTAGCAAAACAATCTGCATGAAAAAATTTGTGTTCTCCTTTTTAGCATAAACTAGCAGTAGAGCCCGGCGTTGCCCGGGGATGTAACAGTAAGAGATAGATCAAGTATCGACCATCATAAAGACTGAAAAATAAAATTGACAAAGATTATTGTTTAAGGTTGACGGACACGCATGTCTTAATTAGTTTTTTTTTTTTTATGAATTGGTCAAACCCAAATTCAAACAAAAACATTGTTTACAATCGTTATGAGTCTATCGATTGGTGAATAGAATTTTATTATAAACAATTGTCTTGTAAATGGAGTTTTTAAAGCATTCTGAATGTAAATAAAAAAAAAAAGTGTGCAAGACAATAAGAAATACTACCTGCCAAAAAAAAAAAAGTGGATGTTTGTTTTATCGGCTGAAAAAATGTAAGAAATCCGATCCCATATATAAAGGGAACACACACACACACACACATAAACAACCTGGGTTTTTTAACCTAAGTCACTCCACGGAATCGCTAAAACATAGAGCATAGTCTGATGAAAAAGACGCCAAAGTTTATGAAAACAAAATTTTATCGTCAAAATGCTTATTTTTTATGAAGATAGGATAAATTTTTTTAATTATTTTTAAAAATTTTCCATCTTTTTTAGAATATTCTAAATTTTGATTTAAAAACCTTGTTTCTCTTTGTCGCAACAAGGGGTAGTAAATAACATAGATAATTTTTAGCGCATTTTTTTGTATTTACACACATTAATTTGGAAAATCTTGCAAAAATAAAAATAATTGTCAGATGTTAATGAAACTTTCAGAAACTATTCACAGATGATCAAAATTATTATAAATATTTTTTTTTATTAAAGTCATGGCAGAAATATTTTTTTTATATTTATTAACACCCCATAACTAATTTTATGAAAAAACTCTAAAATTCGAGACCATCGGTTTTAGTGATTACAAAGGCTTTGAAGAATGCAAATCATGTTTTTTTTTTGTTTTTTTTGGCCAACATACCTGAAAATCAGCTGTGAATTGTAACATACAAAACTCAATAAAACAAATATATTATTTAGTTTCAAATGCTTTTATTTGTTTTAATTTGTTTTTATGAATATGGACAATATTTTCTGAAAGCAAAAAAATTTTTTCAATGAAAATTGAATTTTTAATACAATTATTTCTTATTTCTTTAATTTTAAAAAGATTTTAAAAAAAAAAATGTTTAAATTGAATTTTAAAAATATTTTAACATTAGTTAAAAAGCAACATCAACCTTTCAAAATGTCCGTGTGAGATTGTCATTGTCTAGCGCTTTGAAAATTGTATAATTTGGACAATCAGATTAGCCATGGTAATTAAGAAATGTAATTTTTGTGTTTATAGTCGGACAGTAATTATCAAGTACGGAAGACCAACCAGAATACAATTTAGTTGCATTATTTGAGTTCAGCATTGTTCTCCGCTGTTAAGGCCTTTTACTTTTTTTGTAAAACACGTATGGAGAAGTTAATTTGAGTTTTCAATTTCAACTGAGAAGGGTACCTACAAGTAACATTATCATCTTATGAAATTTAACTACTGCTAAACTTTAATTTATATGATCTTATTTTTATATTAATCTCAGTTATGACATTTTTCCATAAATGAAATATCAAAATACAAATAATAAAATGAATGGAAATACAAATAACACAGTAAATGTAATAAATGTACATAAAATTATAGTATTTTATGTACATTTTCTGATAAAATTTCATAAGAAAGGTACCTAAATTAATTAGATTTTTTTTCTTATGAAATTTAATCTCACTATTAACAGTCTTATTTTTTAATTTCTTTATATTTTCCATAAAGCATCGTAAACGTAAAAAATGAAAGCTAAGTACAAAAAAAAAAAAAAAAAAAATTAAAAATTAGAGCGCTGAAAGTTTTTCCTTAAAAGTAACAAGGTAAATAATTTGTTCACTTAAATAATTTCACTTCCTTCCATCCGTAGAAAGAATTCTCCTCCCGTAAGTTATCTAAACGTCATGAATGTGCCTTTTCGTCAATCGTCAAGCGACGCGAAAGGTTATGACCTGCTTTGTTTTATTTTCAAATTACATTTTTTCGGCGCAGAAGCTAAGTTAAGCTTGGTTCAAAATATTTTAAATAAACAGTATAATATCTGTTTTTATTAAAATCAGTTTTGAAAAAATGATAATTGATTTTTAAAAGAATATCAAAGTAAGATTTTAATCTTTTTATCAAATCGAAAAAAATGATTGAAAATGATTATCTGCCCTTTTTTTTGAAAAAAAAAAAAAACAATATTTTTAACGAAAATTTCAGATGTGCTAGGAACGATTAAAAATGTAAAAAAATACCCCAAAATACTTTTGATCTTTCCTCTTTAATAATAATATGAACATTAGACGATAAAATTTTGTTTTTGTCAAGTTCGGCGTCTTTTTCATCATGCTATGCTCTTTTGTTTACATTTTCGTGGGTGAGATCTCCCCCTTTCATTCTCACGATGTGTCTTAATCATGTTTTCAAATTGATTTTATTAAAAAACAACTGTATTTTTCCCATTTTCGGCCCCGTTAGAACCACCACAAGGTAATTTTATGTAGTCTTGTGAAGTTTTGTTGAAATCAGCTAAAAAATGTAGGAAATTCGATCCAACATATAAACGTTACAGACACACACACACAACCTGTGTTTTATAATAAGTAAGATTTTCAAATATTAAAACAAGGTAAATCTGCAAAATATAAGAAAAATGTCTCCAAGAAGATATTAAAATGTATTCAGTTCCTTTCATACACTAAGTTGGTCATTACCTGCTTTTGGCACCAAATATCAGTTTTTGACATAATTTTCCTGGTACTTATCAGAAATTAGGATCTAGACCTATATTCTTGGATTCTTTTTTGTGCTGAATACATTTTTGGCATTCAAAAAAAAAAAAAAAAAAAAAAAAAAATCACAAAAGTCTCAAATGAATTCAATACAAAGTTTAAGCTCTTTTTAGAAATTTTAGCCCTTCACTGCAGACCAGAGTTTCTAGATGTAAGCCCCAGTTTTTGTTTTTTAAATTATAAATGTGTAAGTTTTGTTTTAATCTTCCTCTTAAGTACACAAATAACATTAATACAGTCCTGTAATTGAGCTGAAAATTATTTGGGGGCTCAAAAAGCACAAATGTCTACAGTAGGCTTATACTGTGGAAGTTTAACAGAAAGCTTAAATATTAACTATGTAATAAAACCCAAGGATTTCTTAAGAACTTTTATACTTAATTATCAAGCAGTAATTGTTACAAGAGAACTTAGAAACTTTAACTCAGTTGATATTCAAGAGGTTTAACTCTCTAGTTTATATTTGAGCTTGTTAAAATCTTTACCACAAATAATAAAAAACAAAACAAAAACAAACTGAAACAATCAATCAAGATAGAAATTTAATTTTTCAGAAGTTATAAGATAATATCAGGAGACAATAATGAAAAGAAATGCATTTAAACAAGTGACAAATTTTTAAATAAACTGATGAGAATAGTTATAAAGTATAATCATAGAAAAGTGTGTGTGTGTGTGTGTGTGAGTATATATAAGATAAACATAGGTATATAAAAAAAATGAAGTGGTTATGATTATGATATAGTTTATACAAAAATCCTGAAAAGGGAATTGTATAGATTTAAGAATGAATTATGTATGCACAAATTTTTCCTACAGTTGCTATTTTATCCAATCGCACAACCCACTGAACTCAATTTTTTTCTCCATCACTTCTTTTATATATACATGCTAAATATTTTAGAAAGACCAACACATTTTAGAATAGACATTTTAACTGTTAATTTGTTGAAACATTGTGACAGAGATCTTTTCAATGCTGACTTTGTTTTTTAGTCCTTTATTTTTATTTATTACCATGAAAAGAGCTGCCATTTAGAAACACTTAAAAATGAAATGTAAATTATTTGTTCAAAGTTAGACCTAGGCAGCAGAGGAGCAGTTGCAGCCTCCACACTTCTCTGAGGATAGGGAAAGGATGTGAAGCCAAAGACCTATGAATTTGGAGTACTTGCAGTTACAATGTTGCAATTGTTAATATTTCTTCCCTCTTGATTACAATATGTACACTTCTGCATGTCTAGAAGGTACTTACTGTAAATATAAAGTTTGAAAACATTAACAAGTTGTTTGTCTCCAGTTTGTGCCTAATTTCTACACGATGTTTGTAGTTCTGATGAGAAACACGGCTCAACAACTCACCAGTAACCATGTTCACATTGTCACAGCTACAGATAATGTAAAGTCACATATTTTATTTCAGTGGAAAAGGCAGCCAATTGATATTAGGTTTAAAACTGCAAGTTGTCCAACAGGTTTCAAGTCAGCTGATATTTGTGAGTTAAGTTGTGAAAAAACTTTGGTTTAGTGAAGAGACAAGTAATGTCACAAGGATGAATTAACAGGATAGAATTAATTGACATAAGATGCTCATTGGAAAGGACAGTAGAATCAAAACAAAAGACACAGTTTCAAAATCCAGAAGCTTACTTATCTACAACAAAAAAATAGTACAACTGAAAAGTTGTGAGTAACGACCAAGATATGGACATTAGTTTAAACAATTATTTACACAAGAACTATTGTTACTAGCTTTAATATTGTTATCACAATGTTTAGGCAGTTGTGCCCTCCTATCTTCATCAGGTGTTTGATCTGGGTAACCTTTAAGGAAATTCAAACTGAACCCTTTATTTAATCTATATGGGCAGATTGTTCTCATCCCGCTGTTTTATTTAGTACTGTTCAGTTATTGCTTGCCTCATTTATAGGGAGCAGTAACTGAGCAATGTTAAATAAGAACTAGATGACCTATCCCCAGACACATGATAGCAGAACAAAAACAATCTATCCTCATAGATAGGGTTCAGTTTGAAATTTTCTGGAGTCTATCCAGATTGACAAACAGCTGATGAAGGCTGAATGGCACAAAAGCCAAAATGTGATAACAACAACAAAGATGAAAACAATAGTCTACATGCAAATAATGAGAAAAAAAAGACTTAAGAAATATATGAATAATAAAAATAAATAAAATAATTAAATATATTAACCACACACGACAGAGATATGCACATGTTTTAAAAATATATCTATAAGTATATAGGTACATCAGTCCAGACTAATAATGAATAATAATAAAAAAAAAAGTATTTATTTTACTTTGCAAATATTTGCCAACATAATTTCCTTTCTTGTCAATAAGCTTAATTCAGTGGTGAATATTAATCACATACATTTCATTGAAATTTCAGATAGACATTCTGCTCATAATTATTTGCCAGGATACAAACTTCTTCATTCATTCTTGTGTGTGTAGATACAAGACAAAGATATATAGTGCCCAATATTTCAAATTTTTGGAATGTTCATGTGTACATTAAAAGCTTTACTCATATACATCTGGTTGCTTAAAATTACATAAACACAGTAGTACAGTAGTAATTTCTTAAAAGAGATAGATAGATAGATAGACAAAGATGAAGAGTTAAAAAAAAAAAAAATAAAGTAAAAAAGAAAAGAAAAAAGAGCAACTTAAAGTTGAGTGAAACCGGTTTACTAATGTCAAGGGAGAAATAAATAAAATTACTTGTAAATTCATTAACTCTTTGCCTTATGACCAAGTAGGCTACTTGACTGGCCTCTTGTCTGTCCCTATCTTTCCTGCAACCTATACCATTAATCTGAGAGCATATAATGAAAGTGAAGAGAAGGAGGTGACTCATAAAATTATGTGGGGAGGGTCGTGAACAAACGGTCATCATTATCATCCTAATGTCCTATTCCTAGCAAACCTGCATTGGAAGCCTAACTTTTTACAATAACGGATCTGGGCAAGAGAGCCAATGATTCAGAAAATGAGTCACTTGTGCTATTCAGAAAATATGTCTTTTGCTACTTTTCTTTTAGCAAAGTAAATAAAATACTGGATGCATAATAATAATAATAATAATAATAATAATAACTGTATGTATAACTGTTATATATTTTGGCAAGGCTGATAATATACTTGAACCTGTCATTGAAAAATGGCATCCAACATCTATGTCTAATAACTGTCTAAGAAATCTTCACAAAATTTCATCTTCAAGATGACTCAAACATAATAGTTCATTTTTTTTTTTATGAGAAAATTTCCAAAGATTCTACAAATGGCTTTTCAAATCTTGACAATATTTTGTTAGCAACAGATTACATATTTATTAGCCTGTAAAAGATTAATAAAAGCAATAATTGTGAAATTATGAAATAATACAAATGATTTTTTCCTTAAATGTATAAGGAACAAGTATAAGAATGTGCAAATATCTCGGGTCTCAAATAAATTTATAACAAAAGTATACACAATATTTTCTAATTATTTATAATTAGTAGACTTAAAGAATATATCATAATAGCAATGTCTACTTGGATTAAACAGCTGCATTGTTCAATAGATCCAGTTATGTGGAAATGTGGTTAAGAATATTTTATATAATATCCAAAAAAGTTATACACAATTAGTTTCATAAATGGAAAACTTGATTTCATTTACACAAGTTTATTTTATTATTTCTATTCTATAACAATTAAGATCAGATTTACTTTATAATGATTTCCTCGGGATATTCATAAAACTTACATTAATCCAGAAAACTGTGTTTTACTGATGAGCTTGAATAACTTTCAAGCATGCTTTGAAAATCAAGAATTCAAAATCATGTTTTACCTGGGCTTGAACACTGATCATTATCACTGGTGGGAAGTATGTAACAGTCTTAGCCTCACAGCAGCTTCTTTGTATCTGTATTCAATTCCTTCTTACTTATTCTTTCTATGAACATCATAAAGTGTATGGATTAAGATTCATTTTTAAAAATGAAAAATTTTTCTTGAAGCTTTGATTTTATTTTTAATAAAGCAAAATACTTTGCTGTATTTCAAACTGAATTGATTGCAATGATTTCTTTTTTATTATGAGTAAATATGCTAAAATCATCCATATTGAGAAATTTGTCAAAGTAATTCTCTTCATTAAAAAAAAAAAATCTTTCAAAAATAAAATACTTTTCTGAAACTTTATTTGGCAGATTTAAAGTTTAATTAATGTGATTTGAAACAAATATTATTTACTTTTAGTTTAAAATATCACAGAAAAGCATTTTTTAACATGGGTGATTTTATGAGGTGATGATAACTCACTTAACAGACTTATATTTGGGAATTTTTTCTAAGAGGGAAATAACTAACAATTATATAAAAAAGGTGTTCATATTATATTCATCAAGTAGATGAATATAATATGAACACCTTTTTTATATAATTTTTTCTTAACTACCCAGTAAACTTTAAAATTTAAAATATTCCAAGCAATCTTAGGAGCTTTGGCTTTATAGTTTTATTTACAAAGAGACGCTTGTTGAGGAAATGTTAGAAAATTACCAATAACTTTTAAATATTGCTACCATATTATTTTCTGATAAAGTCATGTTTGGACATCTGTATTTGCATAAATCGATACGTTTATATACACATAAAATAAATTCAAGATTCTTTTTGAAATATTGAAGGAGGAAGTATTGAATTATTAAATTATAGTGAGCTTTTCCATTTGATTAGTAAATGGAATCATAATTTAATAACAATCTTTTGATCGCTACAAATTAATACAGAATTTTAATTCTGTATTAATTTGTAGCGATTGTTTAAAAATAATTAAAACACTTCTTGTAAAAATTCATTAGTGCCCATAATATATTTTATACATAAAAACAATTAAATCTTTTGTAATTAAATAATGTCTTAGTTTTATTGCATTTTTTAGAGAAGATATTCTGTAACTGATGATCCTGTTTGACAAAAAAAAAAAAATCAGGATTTAAATCTTCTGAAGACTTGTCCTTATAGCTAATATAAAAATCAAGCACTACAAAGAAAAATTTCTTGAAATTTCATAAAATAAATAAGTGGGGTGTTAACAGATTTAAAAAAGAAAACATTTTTTACAAAGATTTTCTAAAAAAAAAAAGAAATATTTCATAAATAATTTCATTCATTTGTAAATAATTCCTTAAAGTTTCATTAAAATTCGACAATTGTAGGATTTTAGCAAGTACTTCTAAATCGGTGTATTTTGCACCAGAAAAAAAAGACAATAATATTTCCCATATTAATTTATGGTCACACAAAAAAACGAAATTTTTAACCAAAATTTTAAAAGGTTCTAAAAATAATTAAAAATTCCTTTGGTCTTTTGATGATAAAACTTTGTTTTTATTAAGTTTGGGACATTTTTGTTATCACATATATGCTCAATTTTTAGTGAATCTTTGGAAGTATATATATATATATATATATATATATATATATATGTGTGTGTGTGTGTGTGTGTGTGTGTGTGTGTGTACACATGTATGCACTTAAAAGTTGGTGAAGATATCAATAACATTGCAAAATGAAAAAAAAAAAAAAGCAATACTGAAAGGGAACTAAATGGCAAGAAATATGACTATATTATAAATTTTTATAAAGAATTCACAATTGAGGTTGGTTACAAAAGCATTTCAATGCAGCATCTGATATTAATGTAGGTAGGATTTAAATTTCTGGTAAAATGTTTTACAACTCACCAAATGAGTTGATCAATAAATCTGTAGAAATCTGTTATTTTACATCCCAAAGGATGAAGTTAATTTTGACAAACAATATTTTGTTAATGATATATATTATTATTATAATAATAATAATAAACATTCCCATCAGCTCCCTAAGTTTTAATCTGGCTTAAAGATGAGATCTAAAAGCAAAGGGATTAAATCAATTAAGCTTTCACACAGGGTAATTTTTTTTTTGAGTGAACATATTCTTTTAAAAACTTTTCAGTTCAGTCATCATTTCCTACTCCTTCATCATTTAACAAAGGCATGGATTTTGAATCCTTGTTAATATTGCTCTAACAGTGTACTGACCCTGTTTAAACATTTAGAATGGTGATTTAGAAGAAGTACTAATTGGATAATAATTAAAATTCTTAAGAGAATAGGTTGAATGGTTGAGGAAAAAATGAAAAAAGAATGGGTTATAAATTATGCTTTAAAATAATAAAATAAATTTAAGAACAGTTCCAAGGAGAATCAAACCTAGAATTAACTTGCATTAATTCAGTAAAACTAAGCAAAATGAAGTTCCCCACCCTATCCACTTCCGGCTGATAAGAAGAAATGATTAATGCATTGTTCGAATTTCTTTGGTCCTGAGAAATTAAATTTGAAAGTTTGTTTACATTATACCATCTGTTCCAAATGTATTTGTTCTTACAAATTATTAACCCCCACCCAAAAAAAACATCTGTTTTTTTTGTTAATTCCCAAGCTTGGGATTTGTTTGTATTGATATGTTCCACCTCAAAACACTATTGTCTTTTCAGAAAGATATCTAAGAATATTCTAAACAAAGAGAGCGCCATATGGTTAGTAACAAGATTCCCTAGGATTAAGCTGGTCAGAGTTGAGAAATTAAATATATCAATGTCAAATTTTTTGGAAGTGGGATTGTCCATATAAGTGAGAGCTTACCCGGTTCAAAGATACACTGACAGAGACAGGACCAGGAGAAAGTCAACTCAAGCAGCCCAGAATTGCTTATAAGACAGTCATCACTAAAGAACACACCTGCAATTCCCATGGTTGGAGTGAAAAGACACACACGGCAGAAGAATAAGAGTGAGAGTCGTCTGGCTGGTTATTACTTGAGCATTTGTTATTAGATTTCTCAAGTCACCATCCAACAGAAGAGAACTTTATTTTGCAGTAAATAACATTTTATTCAACCAGTTTTTCTTTATATTCAATAAATCTATTGTTAGAGTCATGAACAGTGTTGTGCATTTTATTGAAGTTCTTATTCCAGCCTTGATTCCCAAAATAGTCCTTGGACACAGAGACAAAATTTATCACAGCTGTAAGAATTATTCTCCAACTATGATACACAATGCACATAGAGGGGTCCACACTACACCATCAATCTCAATATTGTAAGGTTTTGGGAAACCTGAATCAACCCTATCGAGATGACACACCAGCCTCAACCAAGGAGAGTAAAGAAAGGCTGATAACCCAGAAGGGTGGGGTTACTTAAAGCTAACAAGTGACTGAGGGGGAGAATGTGTAATAAGTGAGGTGGGCAGGGGTTACAACAGTACTCATTACATTTCCTTTTCTAAAATAAGTGGTTGATTAATAGTATTAAAATATAAACTGGTTGGAGATACAAATTGTCAAAATGTTATTTTGAAAAGAAAGAATTCATTTCCAATAATGACAACAAAAAAGTGGGGGATTGCAGAGATGAAAGTGAAACATAAATGACAAATTATATCTATAATTATATATCTTATGTAAAAATTGTTCATGATTTAAGTAATTCTAACCATAAATCTTTTAAAAAAAATCAAAATAGCACTTGAATTTTGGATGACATAAGTAATACTGTTGCGAACATTTAATAAAATCATAAATATGACATACTGGAATTATCCCCCTACACCTCTGTCTGCAGTTGTGTTGTGAATACATTTTAAAAAGTAGGTGGATTCAAGCGCTATATATAGTTATATATTATTGACCAAAGCTGGTAGTTGTAGAGCTCTCCAGCATGCCTCATTACTTATATAAGAGGATGGGAAGTGGTGTACAGTGCCATTTTGTTTCAGCTATGTCATTTGGTGGTTTAATTTAGACTAGAAATATCATTATCAAGAACTGACTTTGATACCAAGTAATTCAAGACAAGAAGGAGTACCAACAACATCCAGACTTTTTTGCAAAGAAATTTTTTTTTTTTATATGACGGCCAATGACAAACACCATACCACCAAAGACATGAAAAGGTCCTTATCAATTAATTTTCATGCTCAGAGTAACTTTCATCAAACTTTAATTTTAGAATTGTGTTTTATAAATTCATTTTCTATATGATATGCATTCCAAATAAATCTAGAAAGTTTTTAAAGTTTTTTTTTTTAAAAGATCTTCAATTAAAATTACATTTCTTTGTGTCAGGACTAAATTTTCCATGTTTGTTTATCTGTTTTTAAATTCTCCCTTGTATTTTCATTTAAATATTGTTTGTTAAGGGTTCATTCAAATTATTTTTAGCCAAAAATTAACAGAAAAAAAATTACTTTTTGTTTAATAAAAAATAATTCTCAAGACAAGGAATGTCAGAACATTAAATCAATGTGGCCAGTTAGAAGCAGGAAATTAACAGATTAAATATTAACATTTTAGGCATATACAAAATAAGGTGAGAAAACAATGGAGCTTTTGTTAGTGACAAACACAGGATGATATATGTAGGTAGAGAGAAAAATGAGAAAAGAGTAGGACTTATATTAGACCAAGTCATGAAGGAATGTGTTCTGGGATACTGTTAACTATCTGAAAGAATTCTTGTCATTTAAACTGAAAGAAAAGCCTTTCAACATATCCATCATAGTTGGATATGCACTGAATGCACAGTACAGAGAAAATTGAAAGGTTTTACTGTACACTAGATGCCAAGGCTTAATGCAAATCACAAGAAATTACAATCATCATGGCAGACCTGAATACCAAATTACGCAAGGTGAGAGATGGTGAAATACTTGGCAAATTCAGACTAGGAACTCATAATGAACACTAAGAGTGCATAACAAATGATCAGGTAATAGCCAATATCTAGTTTCAAGAGTACTCAAGACAAGATGTATATGGTCAAGGAGAAAACCAGGAAGTAAAACAAAAAAAAAAAACAAATTGACTATATAACTAGCAATCAAAGATTCAGAAATGCAGTTTTACAACGCAAAACATGGTCAAGTGACTGTGGGAGTAACCACTTCCCAGTGATATGTAAACTACAGAAAAAGAAGAGGGCCAAGGTAACACACAAATTGTGATACAACAGACTCCTGAATGATCTGAATGTGAAGTGTTAAAATCCAATACAATAGACAAAATGAGAATGGAAACTTGAAATGGGACATATCAAGCGAAGCTTTAGTAACACCAGCAATTGAAATCATCTCAAAGAATACTAGACAAAGAAAAAAAAAAGAATGAAATTCTCAAGTTGAAAAAACAATGTCAAAGTATGGCACAGAATATAATACCTCACAAAAAGAAATTAAGAACAAATACAGGTGAGCTAAAGAGGAGTGGCTCAATGGAAGATGTGCCAAAATAGAAAGAATGATATTAGAGAAAGTAAAATACTTCAGAGATGAAACAAATACAATGAAAGAAGATAACCAGCAAAATACAGAAATATTGAAGGACCAGAAATATTAAAATCTGAAGTGAAATCAGCATTGGCCAAATTGAACAGAAAGAAAGCAATAGGACAACAGAATTGCATTATGTAGGATTGCATACATGCAAATCTATGTGAATAAAAGAGAATTCTGGATAGAAAGATATAATAGAAATACAATGTTTACAAAGACAAAGTAATGATGAAAAAGTAGTTTCACCTTTCTGCTGACCTTAAATTCAAATTCTTTAGAACTTGATAAATTACCATGTGTATTACATCCATAAGTGATAAAGAGTCTAAAAACAAGCAGAAGTGTTTTCCTTTACATTTACATCAAATGTAGAATTATTTTTTAAATTTGAATTCTTATTTTCAGATCTTAAATTTGACAATTCTAGCATGAGTAAATTTTACATATTTACATTTGTACCATTACTAATTTTTTTTATTATTTATTTGTTTATTTTTACAAATTTTTGTTATTAGTCATTCTGATAAAACAAAAATAAAAATGGCATGTTTTAACACAAAGCTCCCAAAGCAACAAGGTTATAAGTAAATTTGTTTTGATATTTATAAATATCAATTGAATATTTAAGAAATATAAGACAGTAAATGATGAGATTAAATTTGAAAATGAGAGTAAATGTTGTATTTCAATCTTAGCAAATATATTTTTTGAAAAGAAAAAAAATAGACAAGTTTTTTCTGTTTTTCCTGTGATACAAAAAAAAATTCTGAAAGCTATTTTGTATTGGTGATATTTCTAAAATTAAAACTTATGCAATAAAAACTATCTTGTGACTAAAGGCAGAATTATATCAAGCATTTTGGAGAATATTGCTGAGAGATTAATAGAAAGAAATCAAGCCAATAAAACCAGCAGCCTGTCTGTCCACATGTTTAGAAACTTTTAATAATAGAGTATTAAGGTAGAGTTTTTAATTGTCATCCAGTGTTCTGAAAAGATCCTGGAAGAGATGGTAGAAAGTAGAGGAAATATAAAGAGATATATTAATGCTGCTAAAATTAGTAAAAAAACAAAACAAAAAACACACAAAATATCTGTGAATGTAGTTGTTATTTATTGATCAAAGAGTCTGTGTTTAATCATCCAGCTGAATTTTTAACCAGCAATCTCTCTCTATTCCATTCTTTCATTTGTTTATTTTAAATTAAACTTATTACTAATCATAAGTGAAAGAGAGAGAGTATTTTACAAGCACATCGTTATATTCTGTATTTAGTTACGTGGGCGATGTGAAATCAATGTGGGCGAAATACTGCGTTTGGTTGCAAACAATGGAATTCAGAATCGAAAGAACAAGAAAGACTGTAGATATATTTTATAATCTCCTTTAGTGAGGAAAATAAGAACAAGTAAAAGGTTCGTATTTAAGAAGTTGAGGAAAGGTACCCTTTGACAAGGCGTCGGACGAGAGTTCAATAGCAGCAGCAGTCACATGCTTCGTTTCGTCGCCCGGGCCAGTGTGTCAGGAGCGAGCGACGTGACCTCCTTCTGCCTCCTTTTGAGTGGCACCCCTTTTGTTTTTTCCCCGTGTTGAACTTATACACGCCTATCGGCTCCAAATGGCAATTTTTGAATACGCTGGAGCCGGTCCGATTGGTTGATTTAATCCTTTTCATTTTTTTTCGAGTTTATCCCAAACGGAAGTATTCTTATTCAAGTTTATGCGCGCGTGGCGTGCGGATTTTCATTTTCGAGTCGGGGACCGGATGGTAACTTCCGTTTATCGAAGCAGGGCAAGATCTCATCTTGCAACAGCTCCCCAGATCTTACCCTGATTTGATGTTTTGTTAGTAATGTTGTTGGTGTGTGCGAGTGAATGCCTCGTTGTTTGCCAGAGCAACTCTTTGATGTACCTGTCGGAGCAGGGCGTTTATCTGCATGCCGTAAGCACCAGGATTGTTGTTGATGATATCTTGACGTGGTATCTTTGGTAGTCCGATATGTGGTTGACGGCCAGTGATTATGTAATGTGGAGATGCGCCGTGGTGGTGTTGGCGTGGCATTCATGGAGGAAACTATTGATTCAAGGACGCCCGTCCATTCACAGTTCTATCTTCGCGGATGATGTAGAGGGCGTTTTGAGGGTCCGTGTTGCCGTCGGCTTTCCGAACTTTGTGGTCGCCATGGACAGTGAAGTTCCCAAGTGATCGATGTTATGTTGCAGAAATCCTTGTAGACCTCACCGGTGAAGTGGGTTCCTCGGTCGGAGGACACGATGCGGGAATCTCCGATGACGGAGGAAGAACTGGTAGAGCCCGCTGGCTGCCTCGATTGCACGTCTCTAGCACATGGTATGGCCATGAGATGTCGGCTGAAGCTGTCTAAGATAGTGAGAATGTACCGTTTACCCTTTGAGAGGGGCATTGAGACAAAATCTATGTAGACAACCTCGAATGGTTTTCTGCCTGCCTACAATGGCCCATGGGCCAGTTTGGGTGCCTGCCGTAATTCTTTACGTTTAGCGCAGGTTTAGCATGAATGGACATACGCCATGATGTCGCGATTTTTATATTCCCACCAGTAACTGGATAGGTGTTCCTGCATGCGGCTGATTCCAGAGTGGTTCACACAGTCATGAGCCTGGTGGAGATATTTTCTTGGAGCTTGTAAGGTACCACCAGCTTGGGTGTGTTCGCAGCGCCCCTGATCATTAGCAGACGTTCCCGGTTCCAAGTAGAATTGATGCATGAGTTTGTTGAAAAGTGCAGTGCGATGATCGTTGGGGTCAAGTATGGTAGTGTCAGGTCTTGGATCTGTCGACTGGAGGGCTCTGATGATTTTTGAGAGTGTATCATCAGAGGCTTGTTCAGCCGCAATACTCATGTGGTCGGGCGATCTCTTTTAACAGGGATGGTGGAAGTGGTGTGGAAAGCGAAGAATGCATCGGCGTTGTGTGGATCACTGTCTTCTCCGGGTAAGGTGGTATCAGTGGTCGCTATGTGAGCTTGAGCGTGGGGAGAGTGAAAATAGGGACATCTGTTACCCTTGAAGCATGTAATGGCCGTAGATAGTTTCTGCATACTGCCGGGTGGCGGATTGGCCAGTGCCTCTTTGCGTCCGGCTGTGCTTCATGTTGGAGGAGGGCTGGTCTGATTGTTCCTGTTGATGGTGGTTGGGTCGTGCCTATGCGCCTGCCGTAGTTGCTCATTCAGGTCCAGCAATTGTCGCTTAAAATCCGCTAGTATTCTGTTACTTTCAAGGCTGTGAGGCTTGCCGGAGTTTGCTGGTTGGCTTGCAATCAATGCGGTTGTTTCAACAGAGGTGGTCATGTCTGTTTTAATGCCGCGATCGAGAAAGCGTTATGCGGCGTCGCTGGCAATACCGCCCGCTGAGTAGTGTCTATCCATGGTTGTGGACGAGGTGTGGATAAATGTTTGGTGCCCATACCTTGATCCTTTCGCACTTCATGAGCATGGCCCCCATTAGGGAGAGAAAGCGGTGTCAGCCGTCATCTCGGCATTTTGTTTGTCCAACTTGAATCGCCTTGATGTGGACTGTGGCCTCTCGGATTGTGTTCTCAAGTCGGCCTGCAAAATCAGTGAATTTCTCCCGTCCACAGCGCTAGAGGTCCCATGCCCGACTCAGATGTTGGAAATTGGTCATCTGGTTCCCGTGAGTGGAGACGAGGTAAGTTTTCAGTTCCTCGAACGTGGCTGTGGATTGTTTTGAGTCTTCCATCTGCTGGAAGATGCCTTCGTTAAGGAGTTGTTTTACCAGTTTGACGCAATTCTTTCTCCATCTCGGGGTAGCTCAACTCTGGCTTAACGTATCGTGTAAGCTTTGCTGAGGTCGGTGATAAAGTTGTTGACGTCATTGCCTGGTTTGAATGCCCGGATTTTTTTCGTGGCGCCGAAGTGATTGCTGTCGCATTAATAGTTTGTAGTTTGTGGCGTGATCGCGGTGAGTGTGAGCGATCATGTGTGGTAGTCTGCAGAGTGGCTAAAAGTTCGTGAAGGTCTGCTTTTAGTTTCGTTAATGATCGATTGTGCTTGGGGGTTGTCAGCGCTGTTCCATGTCGATTTTCGTTTGGAGAATCGCTGTTTTCTGTTGCTTGATGAGTTCCAGAATTTCTGAGCGAGAGGCCTGAGTATTCCATTGTTTTGCTGCACGCTGACACCAGTGTTATATTCCGTATTTAAGTTACGTATGGCGTGCGGAAATCACTGTGGGCGAAATACTCGCGTTTGGTTGCAAACAATGGAATTCAGAATCGAAAGAACAAGAAAGACTGTAGATATATTTTATAATCTCTTTTAGTGAGGAAAATAAGAACAAGTAAAAAGGTTCGTATTTAAGAAGTTGAGGGAAAGGTACCCTTTGACAAGGCGTCAGACGAGAGTTCATTAGCAGCAGCAGTCACATGCTTCGTTTCGTCGCCGGGCCAGTGTGTCAGGAGCGAGCGACGTGACCCTTCTGCCTCCGCCGTTGAGTGGCCCTCCTTTTGACTTTCCGTGTTGAACTTATACACGCCTATCGGCTCCAAATGGCAATTTTTTGAATCGCGGGAGCTGGTCCGATTGGTTGATTTAATTCTTTTCATTTTTTTTTTTCGAGTTTATCCCAAACGGAACTATCTCGTCGAGCCTATGCGTAGACGTGTAGTTTTCATTTCGAGTTGGGGACTCGTGATGGTAACTTCCGTTTATCGAAGCAGGCAAGATCTCATCTTGTAACATGTGTTTGATAGACCACAAGGCAACCTAAGAAACAAAAAACAAAGTTTTCTTCATCCATGGACAAGTGGTTCCAAAATGGTATCAATGAAGCCAGTTAATAGAAGAGAAAATTTCAAATTGAGAAAATTTAAACAAAAGATAATCAAAGTTCAATTTAGAAACAGTTTCAAAAATTACTATGCTAAAGTGGAAACAGGACCAAAAGTAAATGATTAATTACTAAAAAAAGAACAAGATATTCAGTAGAAATGAACAGTGGAATAAGAACAATCTATTTTATAAACTAAATAAATTTTTCATTTTTCAAATATAAAGAAAATAGTAATTTGGATCAACAGACACTTGGAGGAGGAGTAGTTTAATAAATAATGGTCTGCAACTTTGAATCTGAAGTTATCTGATTTTTTTAAACCATTCTCTTTTTTTTTTTTTTTTTTTAAATTCAACTTTTATCAATAAAATTTGGATTACAAACAATTTTTCACATCTAAAAGCAGCCTGTATATAAATGATATAAAAACTATCACTTATCTATGTTTGAATGAGCCTCAAATTCTCTACTTTTGTTTAAAAAAATAAAAATAAAGGCTTTAACACCTTTTCAGGTAATTTTTCTTTATTTCTTGCAGAAAGGACTTAGTTGTCATAGGAATATATCACATGAGAGGGATCATTTCTCAATAGTGGGAATTTTTCAGCAACTACATTAGCAGTTTTATTATTTTAGAGCCTCCAAATGTACATATACAAAATTATATAATTAAGATGTTTCTAGTTCCCAAAAGTGAAATATTTTTTTTAATAATTAAAACATTAGGTAAAAAAAAAAAACACTAGGAAGAAAAGAAATTTAAAATAGTCATCCAAAAAAAAAATTCAAAAATTATTAATTTTTGAAAAATTTGTTTAAAAAAATATAAAAATCCTTTTTGATTTAGCCTAAAATTGAAACATATTTTGAATCATTATTTATTTTTTTTATAATAATGAAATTTATAACAATATTTTTATTTTCTAAGACCTTATATTGCTCTTTGCTAATAGGAATATGGGGGGACAAAGATGGTAGATAAATAGTAACAGGTTTTTTGTGAGAAACCAGTACAATATAACAAACTCAATTGGGGAGAGGTCGTGGTTAGCAAAAATGGTTTGTTGAAAAATAATAAACTGTCTTCAAAGGTCATGTCTGAAATGTCCAGTCTTCAAGTAGAATTTTTTTTCACTTCAACAATCAAATAGTAAAAAGTTCATCAATATATTTATATAAACAGTTGCATCAAAATAAATCTAGCTACATTTGAAGCTCTATATGAACAAGGTTATTAATACTTGTTAACCACTATACACTTGACCTGCTTGAACATTGAATATGTTCATTTTTTTTAGTGGATTGGTATATATTGCTGTCAACCAATATAACCTATTTTGCATATGTTAATGAAAAAAAAGATAAAGTGACAGACAAAATTTGAAAAAGAACACATATTTTTCTACAAGTTTATACAACAATATAACAAAATTCACTGATAGAATGTTTATTCTGTTTTTTGTTCTTGGATTCAGTTTTTCTCCCACTAACTTTTTAAAATTAAAATTCAAACAGGCAAGAGGGCAGAAAAATAAAATCCTCCAGTTTATCTATTTCCGGTGATTATCATTATATTATGCTATTTGCAAAATTTCTGATGATGGCATACCTGAAAAAAAAAAATTGAAGAAAAAAATTTAGAATTTTAGATTTCAGAAATTATAAAAGTTTTAATCTTTTTAAAGCCTATCTAGAAACTTTTCATGTGGAAAGAACAAATTTATGTATATTAAATATAAACAATAATCAATTATGCAATATTATAAATATAATAGAAACTACAGATTCTGCAAATTTGTGAAACTTGAACTCAAGATTTGACTCTTGAGAATGAATTGATTTAATTTCAGTTGATTGAAGATATGGTTAATTCAAAAGCCCTAAAAGGTAAGGCACAGGGAACAATTACAATTGAATAATTTGATTCTAATTGCCAGATTATGTAAGATTACAAAAAATTATTAAAAATATATTTTTACTGAGGACAATGTTGAAACGTACAGTATAAAAAAATTTTGAATCCAAAAATTGCAAATATTTAAAATTTGAAATGCTGGCTTAAAAGGTGGACTATCTGTTTTTAAAATATTTGCCATAATGGAAAAAAAATGGTTTTCAATCTGTAACAAAGTTAAAAAGAAAATAGTATAGAAAAATCAATAAACTACAGAAAAATTGAAAATATTTTTGTTGAATATAAATTGAATTGAAGAAAAGAATTATTTTGAAAAATGTTCAACAATGTTTCTTATATCCAAAGTTTATTTAAAAATTATTTGAGGTATCTATCCTTATTTTAATACAATTATTTTATTTCATGGGGAGACAGAACAGGGGGTTAATTTTTATTATATAAAATTAATATAAAATAAAGATGGGACTTAAAAGAAAATTTGAATTAGTTACATAAAAAAACATTTGAAGAGTTCAAATGGATATAAAAGTAAAACCTATATTATTGGAATCTATTAAAATAAATAGAAAAAACCAATTCTCCCAAAAATTTTGAAATTAAGCCCTATGGTTAGATTAACTAGTAGATTTGAATTGAGGGAGCAGTGAAAGCAATTTTATTGACAGAAGGCTGTTTTTACTGGGGACCTTTTAACAACATTGGTTAGCAACAAAAAGAAATTATTCAAATATTGGAAAAGTGCTTGGCCATTGTACAAGCACCAATCCCTCTCTCTAGACAATTCTTAGAGAAAGAACTTGGGCCTATTAAAGCCAGACTATAAATCTCTATATTTTTTAAACCAGTAGAACTGTCCTTTGACAGAACTAGTTAGTACATTCTTCCAAAGACAGATTTGAAGATGGGAGAGAAAATTAATAAGTTACAATTTTGACATTATAGTAATTTAACATGGTATTTACTGTAACCATAGGTTGAGATGTGACACAAAGTCTATTTTTAGGTTTTAATAAGGATCAAAAAAAAAAAAAATGGAGGAACAAAATGAAGAAGTATTACAACCATTGGTTGAAACTGAGCATGTTATCTCTCCCTCTGAAAAGAATGGAACTTTACAAGATCCAGCTGTTTAAGGGATTACTGAAAGAATAAAAATTTTTTTCATTGTTTAATTGTCCAAAGATGAAAGACCTTATAAAGCAAATAATAGTTGGAATCTAAAAAAAAAAAAAACTTTAATTAACTATTCTGATCAATTAAGAATAAAATGATCATTTAGAAAATTTATGATTCAAAGATTCAGGATAGTGAATAGAATTTTACCCTATGGATGATAGATGGAGTGACTCATACATGAAAGAAGATGAAATGAGACAAAGATCTTCATTGTGTGTGTGTTCTTGAAAATGAAGGGGGAGAAGTAGCAAAAGAAAGTTGCAAAAACCTCTTCAGTTATTGGTATATTG